GTACATCCCTAGCTGTCTTTAACAGTCCACGAGCCGAGCTACACAGGTCAGGATGCCCAGATTGTTTTAAGATCTTCAAAAAAATTTCTACATTATTTTGTTTGACTTGAAAATTACTAGCCCAATTTGCTAATCTGTCTGAAAGAACACTATCTAGCAAGCAATCATCACATCATCTGATGATTCATTTAAGCTGTCATCTAATGCATTCAAATCAACTGCTTTCAGGTTGGATTTGGTCAATTGCATTGTTTTGTCCCACATCTGATTCTGGATAAATGCCAGGAAAGGTGTCATATACAGATGTACTGTCAGACTCGTCACTATCATAAGTAGTTGAAACTCTACTATGGGAAGCCTTCAAAGCTCGAGTCGCAGCAACCCAATTTTTCTGGTACTGAGAACGTTTACGTTTCATATTTGGCTGTAATAGATGGAAACACTGGTGATTAGACTTTCATATTTTAAATGCTTAATTCTTTAGTATGCAGTATTATTAATGTAGGCACTAATGTGGCTAGTTACAAGTCGCTATGGTTTAATGGGTTTACTCTTGCTGTGTTTGTCCCTTCCTGTTACAATGTTATGACAAGAACACATAGGTGGGGTCTGGCTAAGCTGGCAAATTGAGCAGATCTAATATATTTATTTTAGTCCCAAAAATAGACTGTGCTGGGGACCTTACAACAACTTGAAATTTTTGGGAAATTTAATGTCATCTAAAAATTATTTTATTCTGTCTAGTGCAATATGTTAATGCTTCAATCAATATGTTAATGCTTCAATCACTTAAAATCACAACCCTCACCCCCAGGACATAACAGGGAAATTAACAAACTCATACCCAGGGCCTTTGATCGGTCACAAGGCTCTGGGAGGGGAAGCAAAGGCCCTGGTAAAGGCTGGCCAAATACAAGCCAAAGGTAAGTTACAAAATGTCCCTTCAGGTTGTGACTGGTGAGAAATGATATCTTATATTCTTCTTATTCATTTCTTTGACATATAAAAAACTGAAGAAACGTTCTTACGACACTCAGTAAGTCAGTTTATACAACTTCTATCATTTCCATGTACCCGCGAGGTCATGATACTAGACATATATACTACACTAACGTCTTATATTTACTCGTTTCTATTCGTGAAAAATCCTTTTTATTTTTGTTTTTTTTCTCCCATAGCAATCTGTCTTTTGTGCAACCATGTGAAAAGGTCACTCATATTAACTGATGTGATGATGGTAAAATAACAATTTGGTGATGAGAGAATAAAGAATGAAGTTAGCATCAGATGGATACTGCATTAATGGGATTGATGCCAGCACTGAAGTAACCATCAAACTCATTGATGCAATTGTGGAAAATTTACGAATCTATTTAGTTCATATGAACTGTGGGATATCAAACAGGCAGAATCATAGTTAATATTTGTAGACAATAATTTACTTGTCTCAATTATTAGATGTCTTTATAAGGACAGTTGATAGAGGGTAATGGTTACAGTCACAATTGAAAAATATTTTGTTTTTCTGTTCTAATCTTGCCATGTTAGGAACCAGTCATTAATAATGGGAGGGAGAAGGGGTAAGAACTTCTATACATGTCACTTTTTTTAGACCACCCCCAACACCAAGACATTTATTTTCAATTAATTAATAAGGGCATGCCACATCCAGAAGGATTCTGGACAGTTTGATTTTTTTGTGAAATGTTGTTGGACTTGTATGAAGTCATTTATATTACATCTGTTGTTTTATACTAGGTACATTGTCAGTGCTATTCTCTCATAAAATCCTCTTCTAGTACATATGGGGGAACCCCCCATTCACGACAAAAATGATTAACCATCTCTCTTTTCTCCAGTCCTACTAAACACTGCCCGAGACTGCCCGGATGATTGCCCGGGAAAATAAATGCACTTCCAGTTAATAAATCATGAAAAACTATTAATGCCAGGGTTAGTAATAATGCTTATTCGTTTTACGAAGTTTATTCTATGAAGTTGAGTATGAATTATAGCTGTAGTATAGCTTAGTGGTATGGACTAAACTGTATTGACTTCCACTTTTTTCGGTCTTGGCTTCCTTTAATTATGTATGCTTGAACCAGCTCACTGGCTTGAACTAGCAGGACAGGATCAACCTTTCGCAGGCTTGCATTGAACTATATAAGTTCAATGTAATGAACTATAATGTATATTATATAATGTATATAATGAACTATATAAACTTATATAGTTCAATGCAGGCTTGTGACATTTTTTCAGGTGGGGGCCCCTTGGTGCGACAAATTTGGAATTAGAAAGAATTACAAAACACCAAATTGTTTTACATGGATTTATAATTACAAATATTCTACTATAAGCATGCATTCGTACAATCTGTGATCAATATTAAGAATCAGTGTTATATATACTCCTAGTTAATCTATTTCAGTCTTCTGCTTGTTATTGTTTTTACACTCTTTATCCGTTTCCTTTGTCCCGGTTTTTTTGCAGTTAATGGAGTCCTTGGTACAGTCAAACGACCATCTGTCGAAACTAATGTTTCTCCAGTTCGTTGAATCCCTTTTAAAAACTTTTTGTAGTGGACTTCTTTCTCTTCTTCAGTCTTTTGGATCCAGTGAACATGCTGGACTTTGAATTTGGACATCCAAGGGGCTAGTTCATAATTCCCTTGACCATGCGATGCCCTTCTGCAATCAATTTGCTGAAGTTTAACAATTTTATATAGTTTTTCGATCAGCTCAGGTAGTTTCATTTTCTCCCAGTTCGCACATAGTTTTATGATATGGTTCATGGATTCGCAGGAGTTATTCTTCCAATCAATGGGGATCCACTTGTTGTCTTTGCGCGCATGAATAATTCCCGATCGTAGCTTTTCCACAACAATCTCAAAATACCCACTAAATGCAGGTAGCAACGTGGAATATTTTGTTGAAAGTTTTATAACCTCAAGTTCAAAATTCTTTACCTCACCAAAAGATGTTAACCCATTGCTCCCAAATATGTCCTTGACAACTTGCTTTCGTATTTGATTGTTCGCACCAACCTTGTTTGTCAAGTACCTGCAAACATTTTCTTTCAAATGTCTGGTACAGAGCACGTTAACAGCTGATGGGAAACACTGTTTGATAGCCTTGGTTAGTGCTGCTTCCTCGTCTGAGCAAATAACAAATTTTGAGATTTGTGCGCCTCCAATATGTTCGAATAACTTGCTCTGAAGGTGTGAAAAAAAACGGTGGTAAGTTGTGTACAATCCATCCCAATGTAAATAAATCGCTGCCAACATGATTGGAGCGTTACTTTTTCCGTTTCGTACTAAATTATTGTGCTGATAGACCAGGGTAGTTGCGTAGCAAGGGCCTAAATTGAATGTTCTATCGATGCCAAGCACACTGGGGTTTCTTGCTGTGAGTGAACAAAACTGTTTAATGTCCTCTAAATTATCTTCGAGGTAGAGTATCACGGAGGGAGGCTTTCCTTTCCTTTGAATTATTTCTTGAATGAACGGATTTGTGTGAATGTCCGACAATAATATTTGTAGCTCATCAGCCACGTTTTTTATGTATTGCCTTTTCTCGCCATTTCTATTTTTCTTAGCGTGGTACCTCGCATTCTGAACTTGCTTCAAATCTCTCGGACCATAGTTTGAACCGTCCAGCACCATGTCCTCGTATATCTCCCGGGGTCTTTTCTTTGTCTTTATCATGTCATCCAAATGTTGTTTCACAGAGCAGGATGTACGCACATATTCACTAACAACCTTTTTGCTATTTCCATGAGACATTGAATTTGGAGGGTAGTTACCAAGATACTCTACAATAGCGATGTCTTTAGTGTGGTTCATATTGGCTAAGCACTCAGACACTATCGAGATCCTTCTTTTGTATGACGACTCTCGTTTTAGTGTTATGTAATAGCGTTTAAATACAATTATGTTATTTTCTGGCTAAGGGTCTAAAGGAACTCGTTTACCTTTGTTGCATTTCACGTACTGTCCATCCTTTTTGTCCACATATTTAAGAGGCCCACCATCACAAATAATATAGTGGTGGGTTTTGCACGAGGCTTTATCAGCCCAAGCACCACAGTCATCCACGTATATTGCTCGTTTTCCCATTGCTTGGCGCAATTTATTGTTCTCGTTTTCCAAAACAAACAACACATTCTCTTTTATACCTTGTGGTATAACCTTGCCTGACGGTCGCTCATTTATCATCAAATGGAAAACGTGTTCCGGGTCAGAAAACTTTCCATTTTCTATCGGAATAGCCCCAGGAATGCTTTCACCTTCCTTAGTGGAAAGAGGAGAGTAGTTAGTTGGTATGCTCCTGGTTGTGATGGTGGATAGATTGATCAAGTGATCTACTGCTGGTGGTGATAATGCATGGGGGGATGAGACGTTTGATTTGCTGCTGGTGGTGACAATGGACGGGGACGAGTCGTCATTTGATTTGCTGCTGGTGGTGACAATGGACGGGGACGAGTCATCATTTGATTTGCTGCTGGTGGTGACAATGGATGGGGACGACTGGTCATTCGATTTGGCGGTTGTAGCAGACAGGAAGGAGAAGTCACTTGGCCCTTTGCTAGGTGGTATTGAAAAGGTTTCGGCTATGTCACTATGACTTTTTTTCTATAAAATGAATAGAAATAAAGCCGTTTTTATTAAATTTATACATTTCTTACAATCTTGTTCATATAAGCTAGATATAAGCTAGAATCCAGTTTTTAAGAACGATTTACAAGATGTGCATACCAAGTCATCTGAGTTGCTGGTTTCATCTTGCAAAATCAATCCATCTTCTAAGTTCTCTTCATTCATGGTGGCTGTCGAATCATCTATTTGACTTTGAAAGAGTTGTGGCGGGGACACTGTTATTCTCTATATAATCAGAACAAAATTATATATATATATATATATATATATATATATATATATATATATATATATATTTATACATATACAAAGGTCCTGTTAAGCATCAAGTAAGACATTTTTATTACATATAACTATCAATAATTATGGTAGGAACGGTTGACAAGAACTTTACCCGTCGTTTTGGAGTTGACGTCATTGCTGCACTGCGCGCTTGATTTTCTCCAAAAACATCCTCATCCACTTCCAAATAACTATTGTTCTGCTCCGACATCGTCGGCGGTTCCTTCGCTACCAATAATGGGACAAAGTGATTGGGACTCCATATTCTGGATGTCGTTGGCCTTGCAGCACTTGTCCACATGATGTAAATTGGCCTTCTTCTCTTGTCTTCCCTCACCGGAGCAAATGTTCTGTGCAATATGGGAATTGTTTTATCCAACAAACCATTGACTGGTGGGTAGATGGACACGATTTTCGTCTTTAATACAGTTGCCGCTGCACCAATCGTCCACGCCGATGAAAACGCCCAGTCCATAGCACAATCTTTCATTGCCTTCAAATAGTCTGGTGAAACAAGGGCAATACCCGTGTTCTTGTGCATTTTCGTGTACGTCTCCCTGTTTACCACCATTTCAATGGAAGTCCTCACTCGAAACTCCTTGCTTGAATATTTACCCGTCATCGCAACAGAAAGCGAATAAAACAGGCAATTAGCATCACCAGGAACAACAAGGGGCGAACGTCCAACAACACCACCTAAATGCAAACCGGAATCTGTTATAAGTAGCCGAGTCACAGTTATGAGCCCTCTTATAAGCACACAAAAGGGGTCCTTAGCTTTCCGTGTAAGATATCGCTTATTTCCTTGTTAATTTAATTGAAATATAAAAGTATCTCAATACAAAGCATTAGTATTATACCATTCTTTGAAATCCCCTTCATTTTTTACTCAAAAATAGGAAAAAATAAAGTTAAAAAATAAGAATCTAGTTGACCGCGCATATAGGAGGACTGAAACTGACGTACTATAGCGCCTCAATATCCGCCATCTTTGGAAGAAAATGCTTTTCATGTTAAATCATAATTTTTAAACCCATTTCAGAAAATTGAAAGTACCCCAAAAAGTCATCGTGAGAAAGGCTAATTGAAGGAGCTATTGGAGGACACCCCAGTCTTCCTACGTGCACAGTCAAATATTTGGCCTCTGTGACGTCACCGAATGAAACACGCGCGAGAGGCCCAGCTTATTGAAAATAGAAATTTGTTATAGCGAAAGTGCGTAGGTACTAAGCACTTCCAACCAAACACACTTTCAACTAAACTATAGTTTAAGGTATTAATTATCACTACTTTTAACATGTGACATAATACTCACCAGCTTTCATCAATATGTCGCTCGCAATAATATCCACTTTCTGACTTTCAAGCATTACGTCATCGGCTCTCATCTTAGTTAATGGCGTACCCCGTAGCAATATAATTTCCATTTTCACTGCACTTTCCAGCATTCCTTTACACACCGAGTTTTCCAAACGCAAAAGAGACTTGTCGTAATCAAACTGGCCATTAGTATGAGTGCAGGAAGAGCAGATGTAGCCTTCAGTCAACTGCCGCAAGATTTTAAAATCTTTGTCGGATAATTTCTCGCATTTTGTGTGAAACCAAAACCCGCAATCTTCACAAAGAACGGCATCATCATTGCACTGAGACCTGCAAACTCCGCAAGGTTATTTGCATTTACCACCGGCACAAGAAGATTTTCTTACCATTTTTTCACGAATAATGTTTTCAATCACAGTCGGAAAGTTGCTACAGATGCTACCGCGTGTCACTAAAAGCTCAACTAATGTGATCATGTCAGTCAATGGACAATGCATGAGTCATCCTATTTGCATTTTCGAAATCAATTAACCTTCTAAATTATCATATCAATACCTTGTTTTGATCATTAACCACTAACACATTAATTCAGTTTGAATTTTTATGGTGTAACAAAATATCCATTTGGTTTTTATTGATTTTTGTGTCTGAATGTCTCCTTAGTCGTTAAAAAAACTTGTGCTATATTAAATTTCATCGCTACTTATTTACTACTCCCATCAAATTTTACCGCTGATTTTAGTTAATATACGCAACGGTGTGCAACTCGACTATTAAAACACACAGAGAATGATTAGCAAGGTCATAGAAGTGTTCATGAATGAATCTGGCGGGACTTTTCCCAGCGCGAATTGCCTTTCTTCATGCCTTTTTTGCCGAGTAAAATCGGGTGTTGATTGAATGATCTTTTCAACCAGTCAGATAACAGTATAAAATATTAAAATAATCATGTCAATCAAAGTGCCGATTTCATGACGGCAATGCATGCGTGTCTGTGTCCTCGCTTGCTTTCAGAACAACTTGTCGTTCGTTGGCCGCACTATAGGAAATTTTGTTACGCATGGCAAAAAATATCAAACATGTTTGCAAGAATGATGACAAAAATACGCAATTCTTACTGTACTGAGGGAGCTGCGTGGATTAAGTGTTCACTGTTTAGGGCATAGAATAATTGCTATTTATACTTTCGACGCTTTCTGTGGCAATTTGTCGCCTTTGTAAAACGAATAAGCATTATTACTAACCCAAGCATTAATAATATTCTTAGGATTTATTAACTGGAAGTCCCAGGCAGTCTCGGGCAGTCCCGGGCAGTCGTCTCGGGCAGTGTTTAGTAGGACCCCTTTTCTCACCCACTCATAAATAATGACTGATCACTGGTCAATTATATTGCATGGTAAAAGAGAATGGAAATAACTACACATACTACAATTATATAACAAAATGACAAGTATAATTAAAAAACAAACCTAATTTATACAGAAAACATTCTAGATTAAATATTTAAGTTTTGTTTTAAAAAGTTTAGGTAAGATTTTAGGAGGATTATCATTCCAATGAGATTATAATCAAGTAATCATTCTTAATATTGTTTATGGCTGAATAGAAAACAGTGTCATTGTCTATATACATTTAAATAAACTATTGAAATAGACAAGTTGTCCACAATGTATTACATTTATTCAGGATTATAATCATTATATGTCTGACAATTTTGGGTACAAGGTTGATACATGGCATGAAAACATTATCTTGGGGTTATAGAACAGCCTTTCCTGAATTCTGTAACAAACTAGTTACTGATCTTGCTGCTATTGATAATTATATTGAACAAGAGCTATTGCTGTAGATAGTGTAAATATCTTCTATCAATCTCAAGATATTGTTATATTAGTGAGGTTTAGATTTCACTTCTGTCACCACTATGATTTACAAAGGACCCTGGGCCAATCAATCAATCCGATAATTCAATCAGATGCGTACTAAGCCAGTGCGAGGTGATAGTCAAATCTCAACCTCTATTCATTCCGAATATTCATTCCAATACAGGCTCACATCAATTTCATTTACAATTCAGTTCAATCCCTGCTGAATCAGAGCATTTATTTAACTAATGTTCTAGTAAAAATATTGACTACAAATTATCACACATGGCAGCCATCATGGAATTTAGGAAAGTTAATATCTCATTTATAAATGAGATCCGTTATCACATCTATATATTTGCTAAAACCCATATCGACTTAAAACGTTTTACTTGCAGTAGTAATTGAGCTAAGTAATAGTTGTTTTTAAACTAAATATTATCTTTTAAAGATTGACAATCTGTTCATATAAACTTTTCATGTAGATGAGAGTGTTTAAAATGTCTACTCAAAACAGGATCTTTTCTAATGTATTTAACCCAAATACAATAATTTCATACAACCTAGCACAATCCTGACCCTAGAATAATACTTTTAGTTCCAAAAAGAAGTAAATTTACTTACTATAAAGACGATGAGAGGCTTGAATAGTTGAATTCCAGAGTGAACAATCTCTTAACTGCTGCCAGTAACCACGTTTCGTGAAGTGTGATGAAAATGACGGGACACAACGTGCTTTCACGATGCCTTGACGAAGATGACGTAACTATCGATCTACATATGATTGGCAGAAAGCGCGGTTTGCCAAAAGATACTGGAAGCTAGCTTCTCAAATATTAGTATACGAATAAAAAAATACAAATTTGCTATCTTGTTAACAAGGGTGAAAAATGTTAGCCAATCAGCCTATTTGTTGACGTTTTGCGTTTTCAACCAATCAGAATGTGAGATGTAGACAAAATGTAAACAAAAGGAGTGGGAAAATAGCGCCTTATTCTACGTCCTCCGTGCCATTCGTTATACAATTGCCGATCAGCCAACAGTTGCTGAAGCATACACAGCATTGTTTGAGGTTTTTCCCAAGCTCTCAACATATGCCAACAATGCATCTTTACAAATCGGGCAATCTCGGATGTTAGGTAAGAGGCATTCTATGTGGAAGGAATGTCCACAACCACGGAAAACATTCCAAAGTGGGTTTACCTTGTTGCAAGTGGGTAAATCGCATTTCCTATGATACAAGGTAAGATAATATGTTATTATAGGCTATCGATTTCCTTGGCCTTGGCAGCAGTAGTTATCGAGTAGATTCACAAGTGTGAAACTCGACATCCTTGCACTTGAAAAATACAGACAGAATCATGTCTCTTATGAGTGTCCATCCTCGGTAAATTACTTCAAGCAATAAAGATATTCGCCAAGGTTTTGGCTTCTTTGCCAACTTAGCATTCTTTCCAAATAAAAAGGAATAGAGGTCAGCAAAAACTGTATGGAAATTGAGAAGAGCACATTCCCTGGCATTCAAAGAAATGTGTAAGGGGCCAATCAGGGGAACTACATTCTTCAGTGCTGCAGGTATTGATGGAGAACTGGAATAGACCAACTGTCGGATGAAAAATTGCATTGGCCAATCACTGATGAAAGGAGCTACAAAGTGGCCAAGGTAAATTTCTAATCCACTTGTAAGCATTTTGTTGATTGCAGTTAAAGCATCTTCACAAGATTTAAGAGGCAACTTGATACTATCAACAAGTTTGGTGTTATCCATCGATCTCATTTTTTGGTTTTCTGTTTGCCGATAGTCATGGACTAACAGTCTCTGTCTCTCAGCTTCCGGATCGAAATACTTTGCCAAAACCCAATCTGGCATATTTTCGGCATATGTTTTGGAAAGATTGGACATATTGCTGGAAACATAATTTTGAACTTCTTTAATCTTTATTGGGGGGTTTGAGAGGATATCATTGTCTTGCTGTGGAACTGCTTCAATTTCAGGAAAAACCTTAAGTAGCAAAGTAGCCATGTGAATTGCTTTTGTTTGTGTCTTGTCTTCAGGTCTGTGATGGGTGTGATAATCATCAATGCAGAAGATTAGGAACGGTTTTTTCTTAATAGCAGTTTCGATGAAGGTAAGGACATGATTGTGATGGGAGAAAGATGATGATTTTGTCAATATTTTGACTGTTCGTGGGTGGGCGACAATACCAAGATTTCTAAGGGATTCCAGGCTTTTGTTGCTAATTCCAAATTGTTGTAGTGTTCTAGATAGGGCGACTTGAAAGGAATTGCATTTTTGTGAATTTGCATACAACATTATGTAAATAACAACCATTGTGCGGACACTACAAAGTTGTTTGCGTTCATCTGACATCCTTTCTGACCACATAGCACTCCTTATGTTTAGATAAAGGTTTTGAAGCACCAACATCTTTGCACATTTGCTCAAACGTTTGGGGATCCATTTCAGGCTGCACAAAATTGGAAACCAGAGCTTTTATCTTCTGGAGATCATTTTGGAAATCTGGGCTGTATGATGCTTTTTGTGACAGTTCTGCAAACTCATCACTCGAAAGAAACACGCCATCTGTTGTTTGACATTTCTTCTCAGCAACAGTTTTAAAATCATTTGTAGTGTCCTGGCTCAATGTTACTGTACTCACATCACTCAGTTGGGAGAGAGGCAGCTGTGATTCATCTGACACTTGTGGAGTGAATGGTGAACTTACACTGACTGCGGTTGAACTTGCACTTTCCTGGCTATTGTTTTGGTGACTCTCGTTTTTACGGCTTGTTGCAATGCTCTCAGCTGAATATTTCAAAACCATTGTTGTTGACCATTGGTGTTGACCATGCAACTCTCTGAAATATTCTTTTAGAGGTCAAAGCATTCCCTATTCCATTATACTAGGCAGTCCAAATGTGGATGTGGTATTCTCTTACACTGGAATTGTTTACTTGTTGAATGTTTTTTCAGATCAATGGGGTAATTTCAGATAATTAAAAATTAGCTACTTACATGGTTCTAAATACATAAATGAATTAGGTATTAATACATAATACATGAGGTATATTATATGTAATGCATTTAGATTATTTTTATTTGTTAACCCAGCAACCATGCAACTACTGCGTTTTTTCAGGATAAACTAAAACTAGGTCAACTTAATGACAAGTGGTACAAACAATTGTCAATACCATTGGTAAATAATTTTGTTTTTTAAGTTCTCAAAGGATTTCATACCTCTTTTTCTACTTTGCTTTTTAACTCTTCAGATGAATCTCTTGGAAGCAGTTGGGTAAACTTTCTTTCTTTCAAACACTGTTGAAGGCATGTTGAGGAGAGATTATTGATTTTACCGGATCATTTTTTCCCCATTTCTGTCTCAATGTATTTTTCGAAAATGTTTGAAATACCAATCAAACCACGAGCTCTAAGGTTTATGACCTTTCCCACAACTGATTTTGACCACTTTTCATGCAAGGGATTATTACACACCCGTTGATATTTTGGCATTTTTCTCTTATAGTGTTGTAAATCGTTTTCTAGCTTTCCAGTTTTGCAGTGAAAAAAGGCGGGAGATTTCCAGCATAAACGATATGTAATAATGTAAAAGTGTAACACGTCGAACTGCTGCATCATGTACCCCAGAGTATTTAGATTTATGTTCAAGCCAGTGATTCAAACGCGTAAACAGTATATAGTAATTCTTTTATTAAAGATTTTATTAAAAAAATTATATTTTATAATTTTAGAGGACTTGTGATTTAGGTACAAAAAATAACTATTGATATGTGATAAAATAGATTATTTTACTGTTTGTGTGT